TCTAAAAATGCTTATAAACCTGGTGTTTCTAAAAATTGAAAACGTTCTTCTGTGAAGCAACAATAGTGATGATATCACAATAGTCTTTATAATCTGGATGTTTTTTAAAAAAAAAAAACAGATACTTCTGCTGCGTGACAATGACGTCAAAATGCCTATGGCTTAACAATGACTTCGCATGTCTAATTGCATTTCAATTATCTAAAGTTTCGAAAGATAGGGGATCTAAGGTTAAAGTACACGAATGAATTTTTTCTTCAGAAACTCTTTGCTGAAACGAACGTCTTTCTCATTGTACATAAATGACATCTTTTTATCTATAAACTTAACGTCATCATTTAGGATGATTGGGATTAATATACCGATCAAGTTATATATATATATATATATATATATATATATATATATATATATATATATATATATATATATATATATATATATATATATATATATATATATATATATATATATATATTCACATTTTCAAACCTTACCATCTTAGGAAATCAAATAATTATTGTCAAACCAACAGACTCTCGGTGGTTTCTTCGCTGTTGGATATGCGACAAACGCTAACTACGAGATGTTCCTAATTTGGTATTCCCTAATTACGAGATACTTTATGCTTGGAAAGTGTCGAGACGATCCCCAAATTTCTCCATTTTCGAAAAATTCAGTTAACATTGGACGATGGCTGCGTATTCCTTGTTGCAGAACTGCATGTTTTAAATGTTTTATTTGAGACGTTTTGTGGAATTTTTTTTTACAGTAATACTTATACAGTTAATTGGAATTTTGAGGTGTCTTTTGATTATTTGAATTTCTAGTATCTGTTGACGATACTATATTAGAAAAAGATATGTTTTTCGGAATGGAAAAAAAATCCTCTAAATAAAAGTTTACATAAAAGAGAGTTTTTGAAGGCAGATACGAGGCCATAAAATTTGCAATGTCTTTTACGGTTCTATATTTTAAAAAAGCCATTGCCTAATTATCTTGGACACAAAAACTACTGAACGGATGCTAATTTATCAAAGCTATAGTTATAAAACTATGACAAACAAAGTTACCCATATATTTCATTTGTATTTGAAAATTCTATCGTGCCTCGAATAAAATCTACCCTTGAAAAAGTGTAAGAAAAAGGCTACACAAATATATGTACATGAAATATTAGGATTATCTTCAGTTTATTTAATTTAGGTCAGTCTTCTCCTGTATGCGTTTTCAAAACTTCGTATTGCGCAATGACTGGCGGGGTCAGTGCATATTAAGATATTAAGAGAAATAGAGGCTTAAAAATATTTTGTTATTCTGTTCTTCTGTTTGTTTTTCCTTTTCTGGGACAGTATATTTCAAACAAAAAAGGAAGACAACTGTACAATTCTTGAAGTCTTTCAACCTTTCAGAAATAAGTAAATTACTGGAAATTTGGCAAAAACTGGGGATCCAAAGATAAAGTCTATTTCATTATCTTGGTAAGAATTATTCCGCATATATTGACAGACATATAACAGTAGGTGTAATAGGTAAGCGTTTGTCTAATGGTCAAGTTTCTGAGAAAATCATTAGTATTTCATGTCAATCTCGAATTTACCGAATGATATGTCCAAAGTGCCAAAGAATTTTTTGCCATACGGAACATCCATACAGTCAGAAATAAAGGACAGTTGATAGCAATCTTTGACAACCCTAGCATTCAGATATCTAAATTCTATACAATATTTGATATTATCATCCTTTTTATGCCCCCATAATCGAAGATTAGGGGGCATATAGTTTCTACCCTATCCATCTGTCAGTCTGTTTGTCCGCCAAAAATTTAACCTTGCCCATAACCTTAAACTGGTTGGAGCTATGGCTTTCATATTTCACATGTGTATTACTTGTGACAAGACCTTTCTTTTCCGGAACTGTCCTAGAAGTCTCTTTATCTCTCCATCCCCTAGGAAAATTTTCTGTTGAAATTTGATGAACTGCTTTCTTACAAGATTCCTTGTAGTCATTAATTGTGATGAAGTGAACTATTTGTGAAATCTGTTGAAGTGGTTCGTCATCATGTTGTTTCCATGTACTACAGCTTACATCTAGCAGAGATAGTTTTTTGGTATTAAATCTTTTACTCTCTCATGATCTTTCTCGACCTTTCTGTAACTGTCTAGGTTTAGCTTACACACGTATTCAAATGTTTATCCATCTAAGTTTCTCAATAATTTGTCTGTACCCTCTTCTTTCCCCAGTCATGTTTGTCAGCTACCCTTTCAAACTGTGTGATGAAGGATACAACCTGATTTTTATGTCTCATATTGTTTTCCTTACAAACAGCTCACCGAAGCTTGGTTTTCGCTTAAACTGACAAATACAACAGGACAATACTGTGTGAGAATGAAATATGTCATTTATTAAAAATAACAAATGAGGTTATCTTGGATTCACAAAAAGGGGGAAATCAGCAAACATCGAACTTTTTGCCATCTTGTAAAACAACATTTCATCACATTTGTACTGATCCCCCCCCCCCCCCAAAAAAAAAAAAAAAAAACAACAATATTTTCACAAATAACAATAATACTGATAAGTTCAATCACAAACGTTGAAAAATTATTCATAAAAAAATGGGAAAGAAGTCGGCCAAAGATATGATCAGCCGATTATATCCAACACCATTTTTCCCCATCACAACCAAATGTTTGTAATTTTACTGTTCAACTACGACTTTTATGTCTGTGTCTGCATCAGTACTGGTGTTTCTCAAAGTCAGAATCAATACTGGAGGAGGAGGATAGGATGACCGTGAAGATGAGGATGATGATGATTCAATCTAATTAAAATTAGATGTTCCGAATCCGCTACCGCTTCTCAAACATCTAACAACATCCCATTCGGGGTCACGTCAGAGCGACCTTTCGATTATGAATAAACATAAAAATTTTGGCCAATCAGATTCAACCTTCCATATACGATTCTAAAATTAGTTTCACGGCTACATCTTAACATTATTGATGCTCAGTAGACTGTCTTACGTTGAATTAAAGTAATTTTGGTATGAATTGAACGTATAGTCCGCCGATCTGACATTCTTACCTAAATAATGCAAACGAAAATGCACACACTACATGTATACGTCTATATATCCCGCACGTCACATTTATATTTAGCACGATCTTTACCATTCATATTTTGTTTACTACGAAACCCCTTGGGCGTTTAGCTTTGGCAGAAAAAAAAGAAACGCATCCGAACTATAAGCCAAGATTTCGGCGACGGCGATTTCATTAGGTAATCGAAAGGTCGCTCTGACGTGACCCCGAATGGGATGTTGTTAGATGTTTGAGAAGCGGTAGCGGATTCGGAACATCTAATTTTAATTAGATTGATGATGATTATTGATGATGTTGATGATATGATAAATATCTTGTTTTTCTACGATGTTTCTTTCCTATTGTGTTTTCATCATATCTGTCGTCAAACTTGTTAAATTTTAAGTGCATATGTGTGTCTTTGGTATCTTGTATTTTTCTATTTTTTTTGTGTCTGATTGTTTTCTGTCAGATGGTTTTCTATGTATATTCTATCTGCTGGCATAGCGCTTACCCATTTTCTCCGTTAAGCACCCTGTTTAATGCAAACCCTGCTTTCTTCTCTATCTCTCCACTTGGAACTTCACCTTTCTCTTTTTGTCTCTCCACTTGCAACCCCTCCTAATAATAGCTGACCTATAATTACGTGGATCAATCACGAATCCGACATAAATAAATGTATTTTTACTACATTATCGAAAGTTTCCAGTACCTACACAGGCAATGTGCACTCAGCCAATGCCTATTCAAGATCCCAATTAAAGGAAGATGTACTAGATATCTGCAGAATATTAACAATCAAGCTACTAGTATATATCAAAGACATTTTAAAGATCTCAATACCCCCCTTGGAACAAATAATACAGATAATCATAAATTGAATTTATAATAAAGAAAACCATTTCTGCAAATAGAATGGATCTTCCGAATAAAATACGGAAATAACGAACAGTATTCTAGCTCAAAATTCCATTCAAACAATACAAATCAGGAGCATAGCAAACACGGACCTCTTAAACATCAGAATTGGGATCAGATGCCATGGAGGAGTGAGCATCCCCAGCCGACCATTTCTGCAAATAGAATGGATCTTCCGAATAAAATACGGAAATAACGAACAGTATTCTAGCTCAAAATTCCATTCAAACAATACAAATCAGGAGCATAGCAAACACGGACCTCTTAAACATCAGAATTGGGATCAGATGCCATGGAGGAGTGAGCATCCCCAGCCGACCATTTCTGCAAATAGAATGGATCTTCCGAATAAAATACGGAAATAACGAACAGTATTCTAGCTCAAAATTCCATTCAAACAATACAAATCAGGAGCATAGCAAACACGGACCTCTTAAACATCAAAATTGGGATCAGATGCCATGGAGGAGTGAGCATCCCCAGCCAACCGGTCACACCCACCGTGTGCGCTTGTCATGATCGGGAAAAATGGAAAAATCCCGCAGACAATTCAGTGTGTATATATGACCTAACAATGAGTATGAAAGACGTCAGTCAGCATTTGACTAAAATGTTACATTGTATTTGCTGACAAGGTCATTGTATCGACAATAGAACTTGCAAAACGATGACTTTAAACGAGATTAAACGAGATTGTTGATATTATTTTTTAATCAACTTGTTTGTCAATAGCTTGCCTCGCTTTAGAAATTGTTCGTACACAGATCATGCTCGAATCAACTGAGAGACATAAACCCCATATGCAGGCGATAAGGTTATATTGCTTCATAAGTAACGGAAGTTGAAGTTGTTAGGTTACAATTAAAAGACAGAAAAGTTTTTGACCACAAAGATTAAAAAACAAAACAAAACAAACAGTATTTTCACAAATAACAATAATACTGATTAGTTCAATCACAAGCGTCAAAAAATTATTCAAAAGCATATAAAAGCAAAAAGATGGCAAACAATATGGCCAAAGATATGATCATCCGATTATATCCAACGCCATCTATTTTTCCATCACCACTAAATGTTTGTAATTTTGCTGTTGAACTACGAAGTTTGTGTCTGTGTCTGCATCGATGTTTATCGAAGTCAGAATCATTACTGGAGGAGGAGGATGACCGTGAAGATAATGAGGATGATGATGATAGGTATCTTGTTTTTCTACGATGTTCTTTCCTCTTGTGTTTTATCATATCTGTCGTCAAACATGTTAAAATTTTAAGTGCATATGTTTGTCTTTGGTATCTTGTATTTTTCTGTTTTGTTTCGTGTCTCTTTTCTGTCAGATTGTTTTTCTATGTATATGCTATCTGCTGGCAATTTTCTCTGTTAGGTATCTTTTTAAATGCGAATCCTGCTTTCTTCTCTATATCTCCAATTGCAACTCTACTTCTCTCTCTGTCTCTCCACTTGCAACCCCTCCTCCTGCCTCTTTAATTTTACACTCAACTCTCTCACAGTAGTGTCCATATCTCTCATGCCATAGAGAAAATCTACTAGTAGCTCCAACAAAGGACACTATTTGATTTTTTTCTCATTTTCTCCTCTGCCTTGCTGGTACATCTGTATATTTACAGTGAACCAACGACCTTTGAACTTAATACCTATCTTTTTCTTATCCCTCTCTCATCATCTATGGAGCTTTGATCTAGAATTTCTTACAAGTCAAATTCTGAAGCTGTTTACATGGTAAATGGACCCATTTTGAAATCCGTAACATCAAAGACACAAAATACTACCAAAAAAAATTGAGTGATTGCAAAATGAAACAAAATTATTTAAAAAGAAAAACGCATTGTGTTTTTTGTTTTGTGTTTGGTGCCAAAAGCTTTAATTGTTACTACGGTAAACAATGTTAATTGTACCTGACCTAAAAAAAAATCATCAGCAGTTTTTCTTCGTCGTCAATGGTATATTTCTGTCAATATATGTAGAATAATTCTAACTAATGGAAAGATGGCCTCAAATCCAAACACTGCTCAGAAGACACGAGTTGACTTTGCAGCGTCAAATCAAAGAATACCTGACCTATAATTACGTGGATAAATCCCGAATCCGACATAAATAAATGTATTTTTACTACACTATCGAAAGTTTCCAGTACCTACACAGGCAATGTGCACTCAGCCAATGCCTATTTAAGATCCTAATTACAGGAAGATGTACTAGACATCTGCAGAATATTAACAATCAAGCTACTAGTATATATCAAAGACATTTTAAAGATCTCAATACCCTCTTTTGAAAGAAATAGTATAGATAATCATAAATTGAATTTATAATAAAGGAAACAATTTCTGCAAATAGAATGGATCTTCCGAATAAAATACGGAAATAACGAACAGTATTCTAGCTCAAAATTCCATTCAAACAATACAAATCAGGAACAGAGCAAACACGGACCTCTTAAACATCGAAGTGGGATCAGGTGCCATGGAGGAATGAGCATCCCTTGCCGACCGGTCACACCCACCGTGTGCTCCTTTTCATATCGGGAAAAATGGAAAAATAACGCAGACAATTCAGTGTGTAAATATGGCCTAACAATGAGTATGAAAGACGTCAGTCAGCATTTTACTAAAATGAAACATTGTATTTGCTGACAAGATCATTGTATCCACCATAGAACTTGCGAAATGATGACTTTAAACGATGATGTTGATATTACTGTTTCATCAACTTGTTTGTCAATAGCTTGCCTCGTTTTAGAAATTGTTCGTAAGCAGAGCATGCTCGAATCAACTGAGAGACATAAACCCCATATGCCGGCGATAAGGTTATATTGCTTCATAAGTAACGGAAGTTGAAGTTGTTAGGTTACAATTAGAAGATTGAAAATCACGAAGATTAAAGAACTGACGTGAAGTATTGCAAAAGTTTACAAAAGGATGAGATATGCAAATATTTGTTCACAATAATTTCTCTGTTTGGATACAGTAAAAAAATCGTAATTAGATAATGTGATCAAAACAAACCCAAATGAATTGCAGTGAGATTGATTGATGCGTATAGAATTGTATACCTGATGAGGCGGGCCTTAATACCCTACCTAAAAAGATAAAAATTAGATTCAGATATTAATATAGATGAAACACTCTTACTTAGTTTTGAGATGTAAGCAACTGACCAAATGTTAAATATTAAAGAGTATAGGGTTGTAATAAGTTTAAAACATGTTTACATCTTTTACAAACACTTTCACAATTTACTACTGTGTACTGTTACAGTCAATGAAAACTCATTTGCATTGGTGTTTCTTTATCTTGAAACAAAAACAACCTTACCATTTTAAACCAGTTCTGATAATTCATTTAACGATCAATTCTTGATATTGGTCTTGTCTCGAGGAATATACCTGTGTAATATGCTGGAAATCTTTATTTTTCCCAAACCAGTAACGGACTTAATGTTTAGTTATCACATTAAATCTGAATTTGCACAATTTCTCTTGAAACTTTTTAAATTTCTTGACTCGTGCACAGGTGTACTTGAAATACCATATAGCGAAAAATAGCAATAATTTTGAAAAAGTGAAGAAAAAATACAAAATTTTAATTTAAACAATAAAATGCTTCTTTGTTTGTTAGTATGGGAATTAATGTTGAAGCTTTTGCACACAAACAAAAAAAAAAAAAAAAAAAAAAAAAAAAAAAAAAAAAAAAAAAATTGGGAATTGTAGCTGCAATATTCATTCCCATACTTACAAACAAAGAAAACCATTTCATTTAATGTTTATTTCTGTAAAGATAATCATATAAATAGGATTAAGTCCGTAAGATATTGTGTTATTGATATGTACGTCATTGTATGCATGTGTCATTGATGGAGGAGCCACTGCGCAAGAAATCTATACAGGTGGCTTGCTTAGCGGCCTTGAATTAAACATGCTTTCTTTGGTTGATAGTATGGGAATTAATGTTTCAGCTATTGCAGAAGAAATACATAACCCGCTTAAAAGCGTTTTCTACATTTTTCTGCAATAGCTAATTTCTAAAGAAAAAAAAAAAAAAAAAAGGAATTTTTTTTTAAAATTTATATTCATATCTGTATAAATATCCATATAAAGTAAGATTAAGTACGTTAAATATTGTATTATTGATATGTACGTCATTGTATTTTTCATTGATGGAATAGTCGTTGCTCAAGAAATCTATGCAGGTGGCTTGCTTAGCTGTGTTTATGGATTGATAAACGACCGTGGTTTTCAAAAGAAAAAAATAATTTAATAAGTATTGAAATTTCTTTCCCATCGAGTTTTTATAATTAGCACATTTTTGACATATATTATAAAATACCTGTAAATCATTTCATAAAGTTCTATTTTGTGTAAGGTACAAACTTATTTGTGATGTACATTTTTTTTTTACTTTACCTATCACTCTTTAAAAAATGTTTATTGAATGGGTGTCTTGAATACATAGAGAACAGATTTAGCAGACAATTTGACTCTGCATAGGCATCGTCCCCGGGTACCCTCTGCACTGGACAAAAACCCATCTTTAAGCAATCGATTAATGGTAGCTTAAAGAAGGTTATTCCTTTTAGCCACCATTAAGCTACCTTTAAACTGCAGCTTCTAGGTGCTTATTGTCCATATTTCTTCAAGCCACCACTAAGCCACCTGTAATCTGCAGCTTATAGGTGCTTGATGTCAAAACTTCTTTAACCCACCATTAAGTAATCTTTAAGTCACCTTTACGCAACTTTTATCCAGTCTATAAACTAACTTTCAAGTTTAAATTATATTGAAGTATCATTTACACAAAATCTTATTCAAATTAATTCATAATTTTGTCTTGTTATTCTTACATTTTTGGAAAACGCTATAAACTTGGTCACTTAACTGCTCCTGCAATTTTCGCTTCAAAAAGCATTTTTTTAATACTTGTTTTTATCCTATTTTTATTCATAAATACATACTTCACAATATAAAAAAAATCACTTATTTTTCTTTCGTGTGTGGAGAGCCACGTCCCGCTGCTGAATTCATAGGAAATATTGTAATATAGAGTCATTTTCTTCCAAAAACATAAGAAAATTTTATATAGTCCGTACATCGAAAAAAAAATCCGAATTCGGACATTAGATTATACGTAAGCGTTTTAAATTTCTACTACGTTTTCAGTTTTTATTTGATCTGATAATGAATAGTTCTCAAGACCAAAATTTTGTTTAAAGGTACAATAGTTTCTTACTTTTTTGCCAAGAGTTTAATCTGAGGTGAAAATGCCTTTCTCTAATTTTGTGTTTTAATAAACAATTTTAAATGACAGTTTTAATTTTATATGATGCGTTTTTAACGATGACAAATCTTTAATTCAAATGATATAAGAAAGGAACAAGATGTGTGTGTCAAACACTGATGCCCACGTATGGTAACTTATAGGAAAGGTTTTTCAAATGCAAATCAAATATGTTGGTACCCAAATTAAGGTCAATATGTCTCGAGGAATATACCTGTGTAATATGAAAGCCCAAGCAGTAATCATTGAATATATATGGAAAAAGGTTAACGTTTTTCAAAAGTAAGTCAAACATCAAGGTCAAGGTCAAATGGTCAAAAGTAATGCAGCCCAAAGAAAGGCCTTCTCACAAAAAATACACATGTGAAATATGAAAGCCGTAGCACCAATCGTTCAAAAGTTATGACCAAGGTTAACGTTTTTCAAAAGTAGGTCACACAGGACGAGAAACCATCTTTAAGCAATCGCTTAATGGTGGCTTATAGAAGTTAATTCCTTTAATCCACCATTAAGTCACCATTAAGCTGCAGCTTCTAGAAATCGTTATAAAAATAATATTTTACCTATAAAAGCAATTTATCGACTGCATAATTGTGACAAAATGGTGGCTTAAAGGTGGTTTAATGGCAGCTTAATGGAATTTTGACATTAAGCACATATAAGTTTGGCTTAATGGCAGTTTAATGATGACTTAAAGATTGTCTAGAAACAACTAGTAAGCACCTACAATTAACAGTTGAGCTTCCTTTAAGCACCCATTAAGGACTTTGAAATGTATGTAAGGTAACTTAATGGTGATGTATTTATTACGTAAAGATAGCTTAAAGGTGCTTAATGGTGACTTAAAGACAACCATTAAGCCATAATTAAGGACCTATAAGTCAAAATTAAGCCAAGCTTAAAGAAAGTCTTTCATCTTGTGTTGTATTCAAGCTACCTTGTTTAAGCTATCGATAGTGCGTTGCTATTGTTATAAACTTTTTCTGTATCCTCATGTAGTTTTCTACCTTTTTTATATTGTTGACCCAGTTTCAAACAATTTGGGAAATATTATATATATATTTTACATTTTCACAAGTATCATACATGTGGCATTGTACATCTTCCAATTGTACCTACATTGTAGAAATTATTAATATTTTATAATATTATGATATTTAAATGTTATCACAGGCCCGTAGGAAGAAATTTTAGTCGGGGGGGGGGGGACCAAACATTTTCAGTTTTGGGACACAACCAAAATTCAAAAATTCCTTAACAAGCAAATAAAATAAGACATCAAAGATTACGATTGAGGGGGCACAAACATATAGTAACTATGTTTTCTATAGTATTCTAGATATCGGCAATATAATGGGGGACGCCTCCCGTGCCCCCCCCCTCCGATTCCAACGGCCATGGATCATACTGATATGATTGCAAATGCCCCCTGAGGGCCCTTTCTTGGTGAATAAACGTATATATTGTGAGGATAAGGTTTATGCTCCAAAGAGACTCGTCAATCCATGTTGACTTTCAATCCTCATTGATGAACTCAAAGTATTACATGTAAGTCACTAAAACTCTTCTCTAACACTATAATTCTCAGACACACATCAAATTTCATCTAATTCCCCAAACTCCCCCCCCCCCCCCCACACACACATTTCTAGATAATCAATGAAAGGGTATTGAACTGAATTCACAACATCAACAGAAAGCTGGTGGACATAAATTTATGATGAATATTCCAAAGACAGGAAATGCTCCGCACTGAACGTAAATCTTATAATACTGTCATTAAAACCGTGGAACAAGAGAGGGAAAAGATATCAATTTGAGAAATGCTGAAACATCAAAGTAAAAGTAAAATTTACAAATTCACTCCTTGATAATATACATCGTTAAGCTCACAAAACAACCACAAAATATTTTTACAGTCATTGAATTTGTTAAAGAAATTATGATTTTTTTAAAAAAAATTCAACTCCTTGGCATCAAATTTTCTCTTAAGAGTTAATGTATCTTCCCTGTTTAATACCTAAGTACTCTCAGGGCACCTCATATGTCATCATACCCATGTTGTTCATTATTGACATCAGAACTGGGCGGATATCAATGAGCAAAACTAAAGTTGCACACTAATTATCAAATTTTGAACACAAAATGTGATCGATAGTATTATGGAAACGCATAAATTAGACTGCAAAAATAACTACTTTCATAAAAGATTTTATTGACCATATTGCGATTTTTGGATCGATTAGTGTGAATGCATGGTAAAAACAAAAACGTATTCTCATAGATTTACCTGATAGGACGAATTATTATGCTACAAAACTCAAAGGTCTACTCTAACTTTAACTGAAAAATAAAAAAAAAATGACACCTTTCACACCATAGATGTTCATTGTTTACTGCATACCTATCCCTTGATAAATTGGCGAGACTCTCCTATAAGCGGTGCCAGGCAAATCGTCAGTACGCAAACTATACAAAATCGGAAGTAAAAGTATTTTTCTCCATATACGTCACAAGTCACGTGGTGTAGAGGACCCTCAAGATATAAAGGAGATTAAATTCAGTGGATATAAATTTACTGCAACTATAAAAAACCCAGACAAGATGGTAACAGACGCCACAGAGTGCAATTATGTAGATGTCTTTACAACTGCAATAATATCTTGTGGTTATATTAGTCAGATTTGTTGTGTCTGCATAAAAGCATGCTGTGATTGGGCGAACTGTATTATCGATCAATCAACGGTTTGCAATTTTATACATACATGTACACACTTTCCAGCGACCTTTCTTTCCATGTTTCCCATCAACGAATCACAGCACAAATTCGTGATCTTGACATGCTGTTTTATTTTTTCCAAATATGGGAATTCTATTTAACTATTCTCGGTGGAGAAAATCAAATGTTCATATAATGAAATTCTGTAATATTTTAGTAAATGACTTGTCCGGTAACTTTATACATCTAAGATAATAAAAAAAATTAGTAAACTCGCCTGGTTTATCAGGGGCCTAGCTACATTAAAAAATCATATGAGTTTGATAGCTACCGGAAGATTACAGCAAATACATGTGATACCTTACGAATCTGAAATCAATAACGATAAAAAATAGGACTATTATTTTGGATACACATCTTGGTTCACATTACACCAAAAAGAATGACATACTAGTACCCATGAATACCCAATATTGGCGTGATATTGCTACATTTATCAGTTATAAAATAGGTAAAAATGTCGGTCCTACTTCATACAACATTAAAGAAATTCTAACCCCATTTTTCATATCATACTGTGAAATCACTTTTATAAGTATCAATAATAATGCATAGTCCAGTTGAAAGTAAATGAGCAGAGAACTTTACTGTTGTATCAATGACAACTATGTGTATACCAGCTAAAATGAACATATCCTGCTTGAGGGTTTAATTGCATAATTCTCAGGATATAAAGGCCTACGACGCTTGAGGTTCATTTCATTTGTGGCGTTTTGTAATAACGATGAATTGGTCTCTACTATCAATCGTCTTACTTTTTAGCGGGGTCATCCTGCACTGGCGAGACACCTTGGCTCAGGATGATCCAATATTATTTGGCTCATGTACTGAAGATTCTGATTGTCCAGAGAATGCACTTTGCAATACCGGTTCAAGCGCATGTTTCTGTACTGGGGATTCTGTCTTCGTGGAATCTGAATCGGAAGAGGCTCTAGTGTGCCAAAGTAATGAAATGATTAAATATGTTTGCACGTGTTTTTGCTCATTAATCAAAAAAAAAAAACAAAACAAAACAAAACAAAAAAAAAAAAAAAAAAAAAAAAAAAAAAAAAAAAAAAAAAAAATAAAACCAAAAAAACCTTAAGTCAAATTTTTTGCATTGTCTTAAATTCAAATAATAGAAAGCACCAAATACTTTTTAAAGGAATTGTTTCCCTTTATGCTGTTAATATCAATATTCAGTATCAGATTATATAACATTTATGAATGCCCAAAATTTTGACTAAAATAGAAGACTGATTTATGCTGTTAATTTTTTTTTATATGCTTTGGCTTACCGTATAATTGTCTAATATTTTGGGAATTTAGTTAATTATAAAACGTTCTTTTTTACTGAGCAACAGTGTTAAAATGGGTTTATTTTATGAGGAACAAACTTTTTTTTTTATTTTGTAGGGGGTGCTTGTAGTCTGAGACTGAGATCAGATGAGTGTGCCCCAAATGGAATTTGCAGACATCCTATGGACGTTTATGACATACCTATCTGCATTTGTGAAGAGGGATTTTTTGGAACAAGATGCAATGGTAAAAGAATATATTATTACCTTTAGAGCAAAATTTAAAGGTTTCTTTTTCTCTTTTTAGCATTTCCATTTTTGCTATTATTCATCATAATGCATTGCCTTTAAACTTAGTATATGATATGTTTTTGCCACATAAAAGTTGTGAGAAATAGCTAATTTTCTGCCTTACACTGAAAGTCTTACAAAGTTTGTTTAGTTTAAAAACAATTATAATTGAAAATAGAAAGTAAATAAAAATTCAAACATCCAACTATCTCTTAACGAGAAAGTAAAATGTTGTTTTACTTTACATTTCGAATTAACCATCAATTCAAATTTATTTTGAACGATAAACAGTCTGACAGTAAAGCTATAAAACTAATGTCTGCAATTTTATTCCATGAATACTACTGGTTTTTACCAAATTAAAAAAAAAAACAACTGAAAAGTTTACGTTTGCTACATACGAGAAAAGTTTACCATTAATCTCTGCATTGCACCTATTATTCAGCGGTTTGGTAACAAATATTTACATGTCCAACTGTTTTCTCTGTAATAACTCTTTGAAATATAAGTATGTTAACTTCTCGATATTTACAACTGAAAATTTACATTGGCAAATATTTTCCTTAGATGAACCTACTGAAGAGCAAGCATGTTTAATTCTGTATGAAATTATTAGGGTTTCAGAGGTCATCACCTGACCAAGTCACAGAGCGCATTGATATTCCAAGTTACTAGTGGAAAACAAAGCAAAACAATACGTATGCATTTTCGATATCTTAATTGCAAAGAATCGAATCCAAAATTTATACATATACAATAAAGGAGGGTTTTTTCGGAAAGTCCACGGACATCTAGATGACATAACTCTTTAGCACTACTGGACAAAAACCAGTATGGTGTCCGTCTGTCTGTCAAAATTCAAAATGCTATTCCTCCTACAGTTTAGGTCTGATTTCAATATAACTTGGTACGCTATTAGACTACACTAACATACATCATTCTGTATATCGGTTTTTGATTTCGATAAACGGCGTTGCCATGGTCACAAAAAAAGAAAAGAAAAAAAAAAGAAAATTCTGTGAAATTCTTTCACAATGCTTCTCCTTCTACAGTTTTTGTCTGATTTTAATATTACTTAGTATGCAAGTACACTACACTGAGATACATGAATGCGTTCTCTAAATGTTGTTTTTCTTTGATGAACAGTCTTGCCTGTCATGATTATGGTTTCTTAAAACAGAAATTTGTAATAGTTCATTTAAAAAAGCTACTCCTCAAACAGTTACAAAACATGTTGATTTTAAAAATTAAATAACATGTTTTTCTATTTAATCACATAGAAACTTCACAGATCAATATTAATAAAATAAATATCTTTACATATGATAATGTGCTCATATTAAATTTACTGTAAATAGTATAACGAAGATTGATATAGTCCGCGAAGCAACCCTCGTACATTCTATTTCACTTTAGATATATATGTTAAAGGGTTATTGAACTTATATTGGTGAATATTGGCACGAGTTGACTGTACAAATGCACGAGCTTGCGAGTGCATTTATCAGTCATTCTACAAAACATGACCAATTAAGAATTTTTTATGTCGCTTGCAAATTAACCATTGTAATATCTAAACTATAAATTCAAAGATCGATTTCAACTCTAAGACCTAACATACACACATGGTTTTGTAAATATTTACCGATATACGAGCGGTTATCAAAAGTTCCTGAACTAGCGCCATAAAATAGAAAACCGCTTGAGGCACATGGATGAATTTTTAAACACTTAAGGACATACGCAACGTAGTTTGAACTTTATTGTCTTTTTCCCTGGAGTTGAAGAGTTCCAAAACTTAAAGGAAATGTGTGCTACATTTAAATGTCTATATATGCTACTGTACACTTCTTCTAAAAGAAGTTTTAATGAACAAAACATCTAGAATATGTGTTAAGTAATTTTTGTATATTTTTCTTTGAATTATACGGAAATTTTCATCAATTGATATCTTTTCAAAACCCCTGGTAATGCCTGCTGATTTTTTGTCTACGAACATCTGATGGCACTATAATCTTAAATTAAGAATATCTTGAAAAATTATCAGTAGGTAAGGTACGTTGCGTATGTCCTTAATAAGCGTAATCTTTTCTATCGATAAAATAAACTATAATTGATAAGTTTAATTTTTTGATGAATTGTTAATGTTTTTGTTAGCAATGGTATGTCCAGGTCGCGAAACCTCGAAGATGACATATATTCTACCTGAGTGTAACTGAGAAAAACTATTTTTATATGAGCATTTGTCATCCGAAAATCCCGTTAATTCACTTAAGTGATATGACACAATTGTTCCGTAAAACATGCAATTTTTACCTCAATCTGTAAGTTCTTTGAATTTTTTGGGGGTAAATTTTATATGGAATGTCCAAACTATTAAGGGGTTAAAAAAGACGCCAAAAGGGTGTCTTTTCCCTACATTCTATAAAGTTTCAATCCCTGGAAAAACTGACATAGACAGAGAAAATATTTAAACGGGCTACAGAGAAATAAAAAACATCCAGAGTACCTCTTTTCAAATGACAATAAAGATTCCAAGACAAAAGAGATGCGCAGTAAATGTCTCTTTGTAGTCATGGTGTCCAAATTCAGTCACGTCGAAAAGTGACGTTGATCATGTGTGGTAGACATTGAACTCCGACAAGAGCATTAAGCTGGTATAAACAAGCTAGGATCATTTCCTATGTGTAGATCCATTTACAATATTATATCAGTGGCGGATTTAAGGGGGCGCCCCACCTAAAAATGTCAAAGTTAGCGTAAATCATAGTTTAGCAGAGAAAATATAAAAATGTCTACTCGTAGACCTCATTTTTACCCTACAAAATCTCAAGAATCCAAGACTTCCGGGGTCTTCACCCCCTGGACCCACTGGGGGCCTCAAGGCGGCCCCCAGACCCCTTGCCTACTTTTTGCGCCCACTCTAACTTCAATTCCTGGATCCGCGCCTGTATATGCATTGGAATCAACTGTTCATGACATTGTTAAGTCATCTAAATAAGACGGGTTTAGGCCTTTACTTAACTTCAGGGAATCTCATAAGATAAGTGTATTGAGGCAGAAGGAGCAGGCATTGAAAAATAATGACGTTATCGGACGTCATGAAACTCAACGGCGACAGCGCCGGGTGGTCATATAATGTCTTTTTTATTTAATGATAATTTGTCAAATTATCAACGTATCAAGCTGAAATTTTCAACACTTTAAATTTTTGTTGTTTTATGTTCCTTAAAAATTTTGTAATCATCGACTACATAGTAATAATTTTATCGCATCAGTTCACGAACTTTTTGATAACCCCTCGTATATGCAGTTACAGTTTTTGTATGAACATAATGTAATGTTGAAAAACACATTCCCCCTGCAAATCTTAATGTCGCTTCATTTATTTTCAAGATGAAATTTTCAGCCGTAAAATCGTTACGAATAGATTGTAATGAATGTTAAAGAAAGTTTTTCATCCTATATGAAAAGAACTCTAACCACTTCTCGCACAGAAATGCATGGATCTTCTTTCGTGCGAAATTATAGCATGTCGCTAAAAATCGATTAATTTCCGTAACGATTTTGTTTTAAATTTCACGCACAAAATGCAGATTTCAAAAAGAACTGAAACTTATCTGAAAGTGACCACGGAAGCTAATATCATACGAGATATGAGAGTTGCTCCCCTTGATAGCGGGTAGTAACGTAATTTACTGCTGGGTGTAAATATGTAAAAAATATCCTTTAACTTTTAAGTTGTGGAAGAGTCGTCAGAAAAACCACAGGAATATAAAAGAGGGTATGGAAGATACTGATGCCATGCTTTGCTTAAACAACTTAGTAAGTAGTGAGTAAACTGAAAAAACTTTGATGTTCCTTTGTGATAGTTGATTTCTACTCGCTCCCTCCTGACAATGTCGACATAAATGTCCACTTATTTTGAATTTTACTTGCTATATCGTGCTGTATTTGTACTTGTGCATAAATACTATAACTGAACGGTCTTAATGAGACACTCATTTGCAATGTGTCATTAACTGTATGATTGTGACTGTTACTTTTGATTTACATATTAAACCATAATGGCCGAAGTGTCCGAAAAAAGTGACAACAAAAGAAATCTTAGCGATTTGTCAAAGTCATTGTCTGATATTACGAGAACACCTAAAAACAGAGATATGAAAATATGCTTGAAAATTCACACATAGCTAAGTCTACCCCTTTGAGTGAAGTCAATCCGTCTGATTTTCCTCCGCTCCCCACCATGACGAATGCGACAATTACCCATCAAGTAGTCACAGGTGAGGACGACATTAGAAGAATAGCTACAGCTTAAAACTCTCCATCCAAGAAGAAATAGCTGATCTTGATAATAAGGAAGTCGCCAAAGCAGTTAAGCCTCTACATGACAGAATCACTAGACTAGAAGCAGTAAACAATGATCTTCATCTGCAGCTGGACGAGTTAGAGCAGTACGGTCGAAGACCACGCGTTCGAATTTCTGGAATCCCGGAAACTCCCCAGGAAAATACAACAGACCTAATCTTGGATATTACCTCCAAGGCTGGAATTCCCCTCCAGCGTGACGATATTGTAAATTCTCATCGAGTGGGGGCTCCCAATAACAACCAAAAGACAAAAGCAGGACGAACAGGACCGAGGCAGATCATCGCACGGTTACGTTCAGTAGATCTCAAATTTAGGCTAGTTAAGAGCTACGAAAGCCTAAATCAAAATCCAGAAACAAAACATGTTTCCATAAATGAGGACCTGACCAAACGAAGAGACAAATCATTGTACATATGTCGCCAGCTTTGCCGCAAACATTTAATACAACAAGCATGGTCATCTAACGATAACATATGGGACAACAAACAAAAAACTCAGCCAGCAGAGTAAATATGTGTTCCTAAGATTACCAAATAAAACTCAAACTGCCTGCTGATTTAATCAGGACATTTATATATATAA